CCCAGCAGCCTCCTCTGCAGCAGCAAGACCGCGAAGGGCAGCAACAGCAGCAGCAGCAGCAGCAGCAGCAGCAGCAAGAGGGGCATGCATCTTCGGATGTATCGGCACCGTCTGCAGCAACAAGCAGACGGAAGTTTGCGCGCGACTTGAACTCGATTGCGGACTACTACAAGGCCTGGGACGCCTTTGACCCCGACGCAGAAACAGATCAAGAAGGAGAGAAACAGAGAAAGCAAAAACCAAGAGCAACGAAGCCAAAGAGAACTCCTGTACGCAGCTAGAGTTTATCGCTTCAGCTAAAGCTGTAGATACACCCCAAGTCGGGGCTGTATAAGGAAGAAAGAGAAGAAAAGAATTATTATTGTTATTATTATTGTTATTATTATTGTTTTTAGTGCTATTTTCACTGTCATTTGTTTAAAATAAAAGTATCAGTATTTGTTTGAAGCCAGCGGGGTTATTTTGTATCATTTGTGTGGAGGAAGTTTATTATTTCATTATTTTATTTGTTCAGTCTCCTGCTTTATAATCTACGATTGTTTTCCTTTTACACCACATAAAATTATTGAATATTTTGTGTTTGTTTTCTGTATTTTTTGTTTGTCTGCACTGCAGCACGCAGTAGCCCGTGGGGGTCCGTCTAGCCGCAAGCCATCAAAAGTATCTATTGTGGGCGTTTCGCCGCTAGTCGGGGGTGGGGGGAACTTCGGGCCTCTGGAGGAGCTGAGGCTGATGAAGGAAGAAGCAAATGAAGCGTTTAAAGAGGGGCAGTTCGAAGCAGCAATCAGCGGATACACCCGGGCAATAAAGGAAGCAGAAATACGCCTTAAACCAGTAAACAATACACTATCACCTATATGAAAAAAGAAACAACAAAAATAATTAAAGACTAACGAACCAACCGACAAAGATCGACGCAGAGAAGAGCAACAGCAGCAGATAGAAGCATACAGAAACAGGAAAAAAGATGAATCAAGCAACGGTGGAGGGGAGAAACAAAATACCTGTCTAGACACCGCCACTAAACTACAAATACGCAGCCTGGAAACAAACAAAGACAGAAATAACAAAAGAGAAACAGAAATAGAAACGGAAATAGAGATAGAGACAAAAAGAAACAGAATCTGAGATGGTGGCAGGGATAGAGACCTAGAGGCAGACGCAGACAGAGAGGCAGAAACAGTAGTTTCTCTAAATAATATAATACACTTAAATACTTGTTAAACAAATAAACAAACTAAAACACACAAAAAGAAACAAAGAAAGAGAAACAAGCATCTTTCGCCCCCCAGCTACACGCCAGTTTGCTGTAGACTGTGTAGTTTTCTGTATGCAGAAAAAAAAAAAAAAAAAAAGTAAGAACCCTCAGTTGATACCTCTTGCGGCGTTGTCATGCAGGCAAACATTGCTGCTGCTGCATCAGCAGCAGGCGAAACCGCAGCAGCAACAACAGCATCAACAGTAGCAGCGGGAGAAGAGTTGATTGGCCAGCTATACGGGAACCGCGCAGCTGCTTTGTTTCAGCTGAAGAGGTACAGCAGCTGCGTCGACGACTGCACTGCTGCTCTCCAGCGAATTCCTCTCAACCCCAAAACGCTTCACCGCAGGGGGTTGGCTTGGGCTGCCCTCAAGGAAACAGAAACAGCAATCGGTGACCTCAGTCAGGCATTGCAACTCCTGAAACAGCAACAGCAGCAAGAACAGCAGCAGCAACACCAACAAGAGCACCAGAAACACGAGCAGCAACAGCAGCGAGGGGAAGAAACCAGCGAACAACCCCATCATGAACAAAAGCAGCAGGAACTGGCGCAGCAGCAGCAGCAGCAGCAGCAGCAGCAGCAGGAGTTAGCTGATGGTGTTTCCGGTTCTAGTTTGCCTCCTGCGGGTTCTCGTTTGTCGTTGATTCGGCGAATTGAGTTGGAGATGCAGCGGCTGCAGGAGAAAGCAGCAGAACAAAAACGCGAGGAGCAGCAAAAGAGAAAGGCGATGCTGCTGCTGCCCCTGACCACAGACTGCGGCCGCTTCCCTGCTGAGCACCTCAGGCCACTCACCGTCGTTGCTGCTGCGGCGCCGCGTGCGAGACAAGCGGCAGTCTAAGCAATTAAAAACAAATACAAGATGAAAGCAGAGACGAAATATATAAACCCAACACAACAAACAGAGTATGCGCATTCATACACGTACACTGGCAGACGCCAATACAAGCAGAGAAGATACGTAAAAAGCAGAAGCCGCGGTAGGTAGTGGCGGCAGTAGCAGCAGCTGTTGCTGCTGCACCAGCAGCAAAAGCAGCAGCATCAACCGCAGCAGCGATAAGTTCAACCGAAACCGTTGTAGGAGAAGCAAGTGTAGAAGCAGCAGGAGCAGCGGCAGCAAGTGCAGCAGCAGCAAGAGCAGCAGCGGACAGAAGAGGTGCAGAAGACCCTCCACACCCTGGAGAAAGTCGAGCTGCAGCAGCTGCAGCAACTCTGCTCTTTGATCAGCAGGCACAGCACCAGCAGTGTCTCCAGCAGCAGCAGCAGCAGCAGGAGCAACTGCAGCAGCTGCAGACGCAGCAGGAGCGGCAACAGCAACACCAGCAGCAGCAACAGCAACAGCTGTGTGTGATCGGGGGGCCATCTGGCCCCCTGTCCTTCGGTGTGTGTACTCGTTGAAGTCAGCTAAACAGGGCAGCCCCGCAGCAGCGAGATTTGCTGTATCCCCTACTGCTGCTGTTGCTGCTGCTGCTACTGCTGCTACTGTTGCTGCTGCTGACGAGTTTGCTGTTTGTATTCGTTATATAGCGTTGATGATTGCTACAGTGCCAGCTGCAGGGCCCTCTTCTCGCGCCTGTATTATCTCGGCTCACACAGCAGCTCTTCTCGTTTCTCCTCCTGTTACTGACGCCTCTATATAATGCACAGCCGGCTGTGCGCTACCAAAGAAAAGGCCTATATACATATGTATATATATATATATATATATATATATATATATATATATATATATATATATATATATA